AAGAAATATTACGAATGTATTTTCCTGACGCGATTGGAACAACAGCGCGCTGCCCATCATTTTCCTCGTTGCATCGCCAGGGTTTGTCCTGAAGCCCACCGCTCGGTCAGGTTTCTTTCGCTTGGGGGCATCTTGGAAGAAACCTTCTCGGTCGAGTCGGGCGTTGTCGCGGGCTGCTCTATGGCCACTAGTTTCGTTCGTGCGTTTGCGACGTCTGCTTCCGATGGTATTCCCCCGGCGGTGCGCGCGGATCTCGATGCCCATGTGGATGGCGCAGGCCCTTCCAGCACAGGTACTCCCGCTACTGTTGCCTCGTCACCCATGGAGAGTGCTCAGGCCCCCCACCGCGCCAGTGCCGAGGTGCTTGGCTGCTCGCTGACCATTGACAAGATTGGCTTGGTAAGCAGCAATCGGTGGGTGGCCAAGCAACCCGAGCGGCAGCTGGGCCCGCTCGCCGGCGCAGCGTCGCCCTCGACGGTCAATGTAGGCGTCGACTACACCGCAGGGCGTTCGCTGCGAGCTCGAGGGGCTGGAAAAGGCTGGCGTGGCAAATTTAGGGAGCGCGCGGCGCTCACTCGCAGGAAGACCAGGCGCTTCGCAAGCACAGCGACGCCCTGGGCAGGAAGACTCTCCGCATTTGCACCTCTGGCCCGCTGTCTAGTGGTTCCTACGAGGCTGAGGTCTGCGGGGCTAGTGATGCTGAGTTGCAATTCTTTCGTTCTCAAGGGATGTGTACTATCGCCCCGAAATCTCAGCACCACTCCCCGACGGTCATTTCCCTTCTGGAAGGCGACCCTCCCTGGAGAGTCAACTTCGCTCCGTTGGTCAGGTGCTCCAAAGAGTTGTGGCTTGCCCCGACCCGTCAGTTCAAGGGTTCCTTGTCGTTGGCTCTCCTTGGGGACTCTTGGGCTGAAGTGTTTGGGTGAGATGACTGGTCGTGGGCGAAAATCTCGGGGCCCATCAGTGTGCTGAGGGTGACTATGTATAGGCTCGGTTGGACCATGAAGCCGTTCTGTGAAATTATTGATGATATAGGTGCTAATACTGATCTTCTTGTTCTCTTGCCACCGTTGGTCTGCCAGCTCGGAAAGGCTGCGGCGCTCAGAGGACTCGAGAGGGATTCGGGGCCCATGTTCGGAGTTCCTCACAGGCATTGTTGGGGTATTGTTCGAGAAAAGCATAGGTCCAGCAAGGTTTCCCACAAGGACAAGTCCACCATGAGAGCCCTCGCGCCCCTCACCACATGGACTAGGTCGGCTGCCTCCAATGCAGGATATCAAATCCCAGTGGACTGCGATTTGCGTGGAGTTTGCCTTGACAAGCTGTCGTGCCGACAATGGCAGTGCAAGGCGTGTGACGATGCACGCGAAGAGGTGGTCGACGCCGAGGTTGTTTCGGCAGCCTTGGATACTAATGCAGAGGGATACGAGTACACTTTGCTCATGCGCGGTGCGTTGAAGCACCCTGGAGATGAGCTGCCGAGACCTTCGCGCGATGGATTGGTTCACGTGGATTGGTCTGTCGAAGAAGCCACGCCTCCTGGAGGTCTCGACCCCATCGCCACTTATCCAGATCAGGGGCTCTGGGGTCACGCGTTCCTGGACGGTAGATATTTCAAGCACCCAGTTCTGGAGTTGTCTCGGGCTGGGTGGTGTCTGGCCATGGTCGACAAGCGAGACGAATCTCTTGTGCGAAGTTGCAGCCCCCGTCTGGCAGCCTTTCCTCAGACCCCTCAGGCTGCCGAGTTTGGGGCGCCCGGGGCTTTCAATTTCGCGCCAGAAGGCTCAGCTGATTGTTTTAGTGGTCGTAAACAATGTGGTCGCCCTATTCTTGCAGGGGCCATGGGGGATTCTGTTTCGGAAACTTCAGTATTCTGGTATCCTGTTCTTTGGGGTGTCTGGTGCGGGCCCAAGGTTGGCTGTCCTCAGTTAAATAGATGCCCGCGAAGACCTCGGCGAGCAAGGCATTCCCTCGCGTGAAAGCTTCATCCCAGGAGGGACTTTGCAGATTGCGGAGCTAAGCGGGCTGCGCAGTGGCATCCTGCCCTATCGCAGTCCGACATGGAAGCAGTTGATCCCAAGGTGTCAATTGCCGGAGCTGTCATGGATGTCGCAGCTGCCGTCCCTCCTCTCTTTCCTCGGGCTGGTTTCCTTGGGGCGGCGCGTGTTCCCCCTTCACCCTTTTCTCTTACCTGCAGGAAGGATCCTCACAGGTGGCAGTGGGTGTCAAATTCCTGGAGGCGCGCTCCGAGCCTGCGTGGCGCGGCCTGTCAGGGCCGCTCCGCGGGGGGAGCATGCCGCGGGCTGCCGCGGCCACTCTCGTCTAGACTCGGTCGTTCTAGATCGTGTCAATTATCGCGTGATTGCGCTCGAACCGCCCAGTCACTCTCACCGTTTTTTCTGTTTGAGTTGCCGTTCGTATTCGTCGGGGCCCCAGGTTTGTCATCTCGGGGAACCATGTAAACCCCGACGACGACGGGCAACAGGAACTGGAACAAAATTCGGAAGGGGAAGCGCCCAGACACGGCTGGCGTGGTGCTCGACCTGGACCTGGTGAGACTTCTGTTCCACGGATAGTTTTGGTTTGGCCCGCTGCAGTTTTAGCCTCCTTCTGTAGCGAGGTATGAGGTGCCGTCGAACGGGGAAAAAATACCGCTTGCGCTGTTCACCGACTGTCGGAGCCTGTGCGATCATGTGAAGATCGAAGGCAACATTCCTGATGATCGGCACGACGCTGCGCGGCTTGCCGCTCTGAAATCTCGCGCGTCGCGCGGCCCGCAGAGAGATGGAAACGAAGGGGGTTTGAGGTGTTTACCTAGCTGGTGGGTGATATCAGACGGGTTCGGAAAAAGGGGGTCTGAGCGACAAGCGCGGGAGTCCATGGGAACGAGTCGATTGCGCGCGCGAAATGAGCGCCCGGGCTATCGAGCGAGGCAAGGCGACAGGTGGCGGGAAGCAACGAGGTCCTCCGCCCCACCTCGCCTTCTCCCCCTCCCGCGACGGCGTGCGCCGCGCAGCCGCTGAGGCCCGAGCGCGCACCTGCACGCGCGAGCCGCCGACCGCCTGCCCCCTTGCCGCGGGCGGCCGCGACGGCGCGAGGGCGTCGCCCCCGCCGGGTGGCGACGCAGAGCGGCGGGGCCGCAGTCGGGGGCCGGACGGTAGTCGCCAGATCTTCTCGCCGAAAGCCAAGCAGGCGCCGCGGGGCGGCGTGCCGGCCCCGAAGGGGCGCGAGGAGCGCAAGGAGTGCAAGGAGGGCATGAGCGCAGGGCAAGAGCCTCCGCTCGGCCCGGGGTCGGGGCCCGCGCGCGGGGCGCGCCGGGGGCGCAGCGGCGACGGGGCGGCGTGGGAAGACGTGGCGGGCGAGGAGGAAACCCTGGAAGCCGGCGATCGTTGGGTCGCGTTCGACCGCGCGGCGGTCCGAAGTCTGACCGACAGCTCCTGGCCCCTCTAGCTCCGGAACTTCTTCCGCGTGGCATGCCCGGGCCAATTGGCGCGAGCGTCGCCGCTCGCCTTGGAGGACCTGACCGAGCGCTGGAACGGCGAGGTTCGCGACGGCAAGAAGCTCGCGCGGCGCAGCCCGGTAGTTGCTCTGCAGGAAGAGTTTCTGGCGGCGACGGCCTACTGGATGGTCGTCCTCGGCAGACAGGCTGCCCGCCGCTCGGATCGGGCCGAGAAGCTGCGGAAGGAGCGGTCCCGCCAGGCGAGGACGCAGGCGCAGGCGCCCGAGGCGATCGTGCTTCGCCATCGGGCTGCGTCGAGCAGCGGGGAGGAGTCGGCCTCGTCGGAGAGCGGCAGCGCAGACGCGGGCGAGGAGAAGGCTGCCCCTGCACGGTGCGAGGCACCAACCCGACGCGGGTCGGCTTCTGGCGCGGCCGCAGCAGGCGGGGGGGGCTCAGGAGCGAGCCACTCCGCGGCGGACCATGGCGCCAAGAGCAGGCGGAGTGTGAAAGGCGAGGGGCCCACGGGCAAGGGCAAGCGGAGTGGACCTGTCAGCGAGAGACCCAAGAGGGGCCGGCGGGACAGTGTCCCACGGTCGCAGAGGGCCACTTCGCCCCAGGGAGCCTTCCCTCGGAGTCGCCGGGGCACAACGTGTGCCGCTCGTGCTTCCAGGTAGGCCACTGGGGCAATCAGTGCCCCCGTTTCCTTGCCGATGGTGCCCCGCGGGGCGGGCGCTGAGGAGCCCGCGTGGACGATGCCGCCAGTGGCGGCTGCCCAGCAGTGCGGGGGGCGGGGCGGCGCCCCCCGATTAGACGTGAGCGGAGCGCTCGACGTCGCACGTGCTCCTTCCCATCGACAGTGTCCTCCAGTGGAGGGCGTTTCGGGGCGGAGCCCCCGCGGAATATCTCTTTCTTCTTGTGAAGGAAATTTAGGGATCTTCAGGCGGCTGAGTCACAGTCCACGTCGCCCTCCCGTCGAGAACTTTCGGGACTAAGATCCCGCAGAGAGACAATTCGCGGTTCTCTTCAGCCTCCGGTGGAGGCATGTTTTTTGAACCTCCGGTGGAGGACCCTTCGGGGTGAAGATCCTGCTATGATCCCATCCGCGGATCACATCTGCATCCGGATGAGGTTTGTGTTTTCTGCGTGTGCCCGCCCACCGTGTGGGCGGGCGAAGTACAGGAAGGATGAGGAGGGGAAATCAGTATCTTAGCAGTGTTGAAGATCACTGCTGCCACATCCACCCACCTCCCTTCCCGACGCCACTTTCTGCTACAAGCCCTCCCGACGTAAGGACGGAGGGAGGGCTTAGCTGCTTAGCTTGTTGTGGCTTGCCCACAGCAGGGCACGACCGCCTGTGGTGAAACAGCTCATCACATCGACACTTCTAATGGGCCACATCCCGCAGTGATCATAACGTTTTGTGAGGATATACGAACGAGAAAACGTTGCTGTAACATCTTTGATGCACCTTGGGCTTGCATTAGTCCTCCTCCTGTTCCTCCGTCGTGCGCCGCGGAACCACCTTGGCCGCGGCCCGCCGCCACTGGGGCACTGACGGCAGGACGAGAACAAACTCACGGTCGATCGCAGCGACAAGGAGGGAAGGCTGGGGGCCGCCCGGGAGGAGGGGGGAGGGGCGTGGAGAGAACGGTGGAGGCCAAGGCGAAGCAGGAAAGGGCGGAAAACGGTGGAGAATGCAGGAGGGAGCGGCCGAGGCAGGGAGAGACTGCGTGGAGGGAGCGGGGCGGGGGGTAGGAGGAGGAAGAGGAGGAGGAGGAGGAGGAGGAGGACGAGGAGGAGGAGGAGGAGGAGGAGGAGGAGGAGGAGGAGGAGAAAGAGGAGGAGGAGGAGGAGGAGGAGGAGGAGGAGGAGGGAGCAGGAGGAGAGGAGGAGGAGGAGGAGGAACACGAGGACGAGGACGAGGACGAAAACGAGGAGGACGAGGGAGAGGGACGGGGGGCAGGGGTGCGGGGAGGGAGAAGGACGAGGGAGAGGGACGGGGGAAAGGGACGGGCAGGAGGCAGGGAGGGGTGCAGAAAGGGAGGGGGACGGGAGGGAGAGGGACGGGGGGGGAAGGGTGCGGGGAGGGAGGAGGGACGGGGAGCAGCAGATTTCTACGCTCGAGGAGCACGAGCAGCAGGAGGCTTAGCTGCCATGGTGCGCCCGCCTTGAGGCGCAGCACGCACCGTGTTTCACGCGTCCGTGACGATACGCTGCGCGCTGGCTCCGCGTATTGGCCTACGTTTTGGCGAACGCATCACGTCCGGCCTACGTTTTCAATCCACGTGAGCTCCGTATCAATCTGCTGCGCGTTGTGTGTTGCGTAGGGGGGCAGTTGTGGCAGGAGGAGCAGGCCGAGGAGGAGCCGAGGCGGCGACGGGGCCCCCGGGTGCCGTCGAGGGGCTCGTCGCCGGGATGTCACGTCTGGAAGGTGCACACCGCGTCACGGGGCGCACGGCGGGACAGATGCGTTGCGTCCTTCTCGCGGGACGTGTCTGGGGGGTCTTTGGCGGCCTTTTGGAAGCCGTATTGGCTTGGCATCGCTCGGACGTGTGCAGTCTTCTCGGCGTGGACCATCGAGGAGCATCCTGGAGCATCGAGCAAGAAAACACGCACGATAAAAATGCACGGTGATTGGACGTCCGAGCCATGGCAAGTGTGCCAGGTTGGGGGTCTCTTTGCGGTCGTTTTGAAGCCGTATTGGGGGCCTGTTGGGCCTCCTTCGGCCATCTCAAGCCCCTTCGGCCCGTCTTGGGGGTCTGTTCGGGCATTTGTTGAGGGCCTTCGGGACAGCTTTGGGCGCTGCGAGGACCGAAGACAGTTAGCTAAAGCGTACAAGACATGTGGAAAGGCTATTGCTTTTGCCTCTCGGGTGTCCTCTTAGAAAATCTTCGGGTCGATTTAGGAGCCTCCTGGGCCGTCTTGGTGCCATGTTGGAGCCATCGTATGCCGCGTTTGACATATTTGGGAGGTCTCTTCGGGCCGTTCTGGGGCAACATTTGGCAGTCTTGCAGCTTCTGAAGGAGAGTTTTTGGCGCAGAAAAGGAGGTTGGTGAAAAGGTTGGCAGATGCGGCGCGGCCTTTCAGAGGGAATTTAGAGACGGATGGACGTTGATATTGGGCTCACATTACATGTGCCCTCCGCGAGTGAGAAGTAGACGCGTTACAACTTCAGTCTTGGAGGCTACGCCGAACGAAGGCCCCTGGCCTGCTCTTGCGTCGCAGTCTGGCCGTGGGCCTCTTCACCCTTCCTCATCCATCTCGCCCATCCTCCCGCCCTCCCTCGCCCCCCCTATCCCCCCTCCTATCTCATCCCTCATCCACCTTCTCCCCTCTCTTGATGTTTAGAGCCCGAGCCCATCTGCGGCATCCTTATGCATCCCTGTGCGCAGGAGGTGTTGCCCAAGAAATAAGCAAACACAATGTGTAAGCGCAGCGCTAGAAAGAATAGTGAAGCTGTCCCCCCTCCCCCTCCCCCTCCACCTTCTCTCCACCTCCTCCCCCCCTCGCCATCCTCTTCATCCTTCCCACATCCTGGTCTCCTCTTTCTCGTCCTCAGCCGCATCCACCTCTTCCGCCTTCTCATCCTCTCTCTTTCTTGTTTCCCTGACCACCCTTCCTCTTAACAGCGGAACGCGTACACATATTGCAGAACCTGTTGTGCAGCCACCCTTTATGTCTGTATTCCCTTCCTCATCCCTCCCCCTTCTACCCCTCGCCTCCCCATCCTGCACCTCTCCGCCGACGCCTCTCCCTGCGTGACCCTCACCCTTCCCTCCCCTCCTCTCCCCTTCGTCATCCTCCTCCCACTCCTTCCATGTTCATCCTGCTCCTCGTCCCCCTACTGTTTCGCCAGAGCACCTGGCTGGGGGTTGGAAACACCCTGGCGAACAGCAACGCAAGAACCGTGGTGGACCTCAAGTGAAGTTATGAATTCAGCCAGTTTAAGAGGCTACGTCCTCACGCACTTTGCCACAACGGACACGGGCGCGCGCGCCTCTCCGCACGTGCCAGGACCCGCGCCTCGCTCTCTCGACCTCACTCATTTATCCCTCCTCTTCCACATTCCCTCGTCACTTCTGCTCCTCACAGTTCAGGCCCCTCCTCTTCAGTCCCCTCCTTCCCTCCCCCTCCTGGTCCCTTAGTCGCGTATCCTGCTCGAGCCTGCTTCGACCTACGCGACCCTTAGGACACAAACACACACACACACACACACACACACACACACACACACACACACACACACACACACACACACACACACACACACACACACACACACACACACACACACACACACACACACAAGAGCACACAAGCACACACACACACGCACACACACACACACTCACTCACTCACTCACGCACACACGCACACACGCATCACACACGTGCATCCCTGGCCCAGCAGATGGCTCTGCCAAAGCGATGGTTCGCGGAGGTGCGTGCTGCCTTCATGAGCGCGTTGTCAGGACGAAAGGGCACCATCTCTACATCGATTGCCTCGTCGGCGAGAGCGTCGAGGCAGTGTCGACCTCGCCCTTCCTTAAACATGCGTTCGAGAGAATTCAAAGTGTCATATCTAGCTAGCCCCGCGCTTGTGCGACAGCTGATCGGGTATGGCAAACATCCTGCGCGTAGTCTACCTTGCTCCTGTGGACCGAGCCCCGTGGACTGGCGGTGGCAGAATGCAGAGCGCAGTTCCGCCGCCCCCATTTCACTTTGCACCAGCACATGTATTACTCTCATGTTCTCGCCCTCGTCATCCGTATTCCTCTGTCATTCTATCCCCCTCATCCCCCTCTTCCCTCCGCTCTCGACAATCAGACCCATCACTATTGGTCCATACGCTTCTAGTCATCCTGTCCCTCATCAATTGCCATCTACTTTGCATGTGCCCCCCCCTCTTTTTTTTTTTTCTCTCTCTCTCTCTCTCGTTTTCTCCTCTCCCCCCCCTCCTCGTGGTCATTCTCCCCCTCGTCGTAATCCACCTCCTCCCCTCCTCCGCCTCATCCGAGATCTCCTCCTCCTCCTTTTCCTCTCCATCCTCACCCCGATCTTGCCGGTGGAGAGTCGTCAGAGGACACGAAACAAGCATTCATCTCCTGAAATCGGCAAGGAAGAAGACGTGCGCAAGCGGGGGCAGGAAGACGACGGAGAGTAGTCCACATTGCAGGTGCCTGTTTCACAGGCCCTTCCGTGAGGGGCATGGTGTATCTTGCCTGGCTCACCCCGCCTCCTTTTCCTCCGTTCTCCCTTACGGTCGGGAACTTTTGCTCAGCGTATCGGTCCTTCGGTTCTGGCCCACCATGCTTCGTTACGACACGCTAACCACGTCCTGGCCCCCGAAAGTGTCCCGAGCCTTTCCAAGCATCCCGCCCCGCGGAGTGGAGCCACACTCTATCCGGTTGCAGGGCATTGCGTATTGCCGGGGCCGCCGCCGAGATACGCTGAGCAACAGTTCCTGACCGTATCCCCTCCTCCCTCCTCCTCCTCCTCCTCCTCCTCCTCCTCCTCCTCCTCCTTCCTCCTCTCCTCCCTCCTCCTCCTCCTCCTCCTCCTCCTCCTCCTCCTCCTCCTCCTCCTCCCCTCTCCCTCCTCCTCCTCCTCCTCCTCCTCCTCCTCCTCTTCCTCCTCTTTCTCCTCCTCCTCCTCCCTCTTCCTCCTCCTCCCTCTTCCTCCTCCTCCTCCTCCTTCTCTTTCTCATCCCCCTCCTTCCTTTCATCCTTCGATCCTCCCACGCGTCCCAGCCCGAATCCCGGCCCCAGGCCTGCCGCGCTTGGTCGGGCCAGCCCAGACAGCGCGTCGAGCAGCCAGGCCATGCTGCCGCCCACCGCCGCTCCGCGCCTCGTCGCCGTCGAACAGCGGGCGAGTGGTGGCCTTCGGGCTGGATCGTGGATCTGCTTGGGGAACACCTTGTTTGCCTCAATGTCTGGATCGAAACGGGTCGTGCCTACCCTGGGCAGAGCGTATTTCTCTCCTCTTCCTCCCCGTGCTCCGTCTTCGCCTCGCTCGCTCGCTTCCCCCGCTCCGCCTCCGCATCGCCCAGGAGATCTGCATAATCTCTGGGCGGGCAGGGGCGTGCGCCTTGGCCTGGTTCCTGCATAAGTCTTGCGCTTCTGCAGCGCGGAACTTGCCTTGCCTTTTGTGCTGCTTGCCCGGCTCACTCTGTACAGCCGTTTCGATCTTGGCCAGCGCGCTGGATACGTCGAGCGCGATTCTCAGCTCGGTGTGGGCCATTATCGCGGGCTTGAGTTGACCTCCAAGTTGAACGATGCATCTGCAGTCTCTTCTTCGCCCCTCTCTTTCGCAGCGTGTCTCTTTGGAGTCAACGACTTTCTCGGAATCGAGGTTCGAGGCGTTCGGGCGTTTCCGTCGGTTCTCAGCGGTTTTCTAGCCTCGGTGTGCCTTCCAGCAGCTGCGCCTCGCTGAGGGCGTTCGTTCTGGGGGTATCTGAACCGTCCCAGACGACCACCAGAAACCAGACGCACGAGCCGAAAACTACAGGGCATCGACGCTGGGGTGGGCCTGCCCAAAACCGAGGGAGCGCAGGCATGAGTGAAGGCGGGTGGATTGGCGACGGGCCCCACCTTCTGACAGAACCAGCGCGCTCCGTCGCCAAATCAGGCGCGCACTGGCCTCGTGCCTCGGAGGAACTTCTTCCCTGGTCCGTCGGTCTGGCCTTGGCATCGCTCGGACGTGTGCATTTTCACCTAACAGCGAAGACTGACAGGCTTCCAGTAGTGTCAAAAGAGAACATCTTGACTCCCCAGGGGGGTCTGGGCGGGTGCCGGGGAGAAGCCGCGGAAGTCGTTTTAAGCAAACAGTTACACACTTCGTGGTCTTCGAGGTCCCAGAACTCCATTCCTGGGCATGATTTTGAATGCCCGGAGCCAACTGTAGGCCACTTCGTGGTCTTCGAATTCCCAGAACTCCATTCTTGGGCATGATTTTGAATGCCCGGAGCCAACTGTAGGCCACTTCGTGGTCTTCGAGTTCCCAGAACTCCATTCCTGGGCATGATTTTGAATGCTCCGGAGCCAACTGTAGGCCACTTCGTGGTCTTCGAGTTCCCAGAACTCCATTCCTGGGCATGATTTTGAATGCCCGGAGCCAACTGTAGGCCACTCGTGTTCTTCGAGTTCCCAGAACTCCATTCCCGGGCCACATTTTGAATGCTGAGGCAGGCTGATGCTGAGGCTGAGGCAGGCTGAGGCTGAGGCAGGCTGAGGCTGAGGCCGAGGCTGAAGGCAGACTGAGGCTGAGGCTGAAGCAGGCTGAGGCTGAGGCTGAGGGCTGAGGCTGAGGCTGAGGCTGATGCTGAGGCAGGCTGAGGCTGAGGCTGAGGCTGATGCAGGCTGAGGCTGAGGCTGAGGCTGATGCAGGCTGAGGCTGAGGCTGAAGCAGGCTGAGGCTGAGGCTGAGGCAGGCTGAGGCTGAGGCTGAAGCAGGCTGAGGCTGAGGCTGAGGCAGGCTGAGGCTGAGGCTGAGGCAGGCTGAGGCTGAGGCTGAGGCTGATGCAGGCTGAGGCTGAGGCAGGCTGAGGCTGAGGCCGAGGCTGAAGGCAGACTGAGGCTGAGGCTGAAGCAGCTGAGGCTGAGGCTGAGGCTGAGGCTGAGGCAGGCTGAGGCTGAGGCTGAGGCAGGCTGATGCTGAGGCAGGCTGAGGCTGAGGCTGAGGCTGATGCAGGCTGAGGCTGAGGCAGGCTGAGGCTGAGGCTGAGGCTGAGGCAGGCTGAAGGCAGACTGAGGCTGAGGCTGAAGCAGGCTGAGGCTGAGGCTGAGGCAGGCTGAGGCTGAGGCTGAGGCAGGCTGAGGCTGAGGCAGGCTGAGGCTGAGGCTGAGGCTGATGCAGGCTGAGGCTGAGGCAGGCTGAGGCTGAGGCCGAGGCCGACGGCAGACTGAGGCTGAGGCTGAAGCAGGCTGAGGCTGAGGCAGAGGCAGGCTGAGGCTGAGGCTGAGGCAGGCTGATGCTGAGGCAGGCTGAGGCTGAGGCTGAGGCTGAGGCTGAGGCTGCAGGCTGAGGCTGAGGCAGGCTGAGGCTGAGGCCGAGGCTGAAGGCAGACTGAGGCTGAGGCTGAAGCAGGCTGAGGCTGAGGCTGAGGCAGGCTGAGGCTGAGGCTGAGGCAGGCTGATGCTGAGGCAGGCTGAGGCTGAGTCTGAGGCTGAGGCAGGCTGAGGCTGAGGCAGGCTGAGGCTGAGGCTGAGGCTGCAGGCAGACTGAGGCTGAGGCTGAACAGGCTGAGGCTGAGGCTGAAGCAGGCTGAGGCTGAGGCTGAGGCTGAGGCAGGCTGATGCTGAGGCAGGCTGAGGCTGAGGCTGAGGCTGATGCAGGCTGAGGCTGAGGCAGGCTGAGGCTGAGGCTGAGGCCGAGGCTGAAGGCAGACTGAGGCTGAGGCTGAAGCAGGCTGAGGCTGAGGCTGAGGCAGGCTGAGGCTGAGGCTGAGGCAGGCTGAGGCTGAGGCAGGCTGAGGCTGAGGCTGAGGCTGAGGCTGAGGCTGAGGCAGGCTGAGGCTGAGGCTGAGGCGAGGCTGAAGGCAGACTGAGGCTGAGGCTGATGCAGGCTGAGGCTGAGGCTGAGGCTGAGGCTGAGGCAGGCTGAGGCTGAGGCAGGCTGAGGCTGAGGCTGAGGCAGGCTGAGACTGAGGCTGTGACTGCGACTGCCGTTGCCACTGCGACTGTCATCGCGAATGCGACTACGGCTGCGAGAACAGCACAATTCTACAACTGGATTCTCATCTGAATATTAAGGGGAATGCTTCAAGATATGCTCCTACTCATCGCTGTTAGGTTGCTTTGCCGGGATAATTCCTTCGGTGAGGACCATCGAGGAGCACCCTTGATCATTTGGCGAAAAAACCAGGCACGAAACCGAAAAAAACACAGGGAATGGACGTCCGAGCGATGGCCAGTGGCGCCCACGCGCCAGATTCCCGGATCCGTAGCTCATGTTGGCGTGTGCCCAAGTACGGGCCTGGCCGATAGCATGTGGAAGACACATGGGAGCATAGCGATGGAGCAGGAGGATGAGAGGAGGACGGAGAGAGGGAGGACGAGGAGGAGGAGGAGGAGGAGGAGGACCAGAGTATGCCCAAGATGTCTCTAACGGTGGTGCAGTACACCCTCTTTGGCCCTGGCCCCTTCCCGGTAAGTACAGTTAACACGCATAGTAAGGATGGGCAGCCTTCCCAAGGGTACCCTTGCATCCCTGCCTTCTCGGCCCATCCTTGGCCGCTTTCGTTGGCCGCGGCCCGCTCGAAAAGCTTCGAGATGGGCGTCCAAGGCCCTTGCATCCTTATCGCGCCTCCTTCCTATACGGGCTGACTGTACCTGCGAGCACGACGCTCCACTGCGGGAGGCCCCCCCCCCCCTCGAGAGGCGAGAGCGCCCAGCGTGGCCGCAGATCAGGCCGGAGCCCCGCCTTCGAGCTACAGGGGATGCGACGAGGTGCGCCCACCAAGCTCAAGGATGTTCGGTATCGTTCATCCGATCCCCATCCCCATCCCCGTCCCCTTCGAGACCCCCACCAAATTGCCCCCCCAGCTGGGGATACGCCCCTCGAATCCCGAAGGGAACGGCCTATATCCCCACCTAGGGGGGTGAATCGGCCAGTGGGGCCCATGCCACGCCGCTGGGGATGGGGATCGGATAGAAGATACTCAGACGTTTCCAGCGACAGCCCCACTTAGGGAAGACAATATCGTTCTACGTACACACATGAACGAGGTGCACAGTTCCACACTTCTGGCCATAAGCCCGGTAGCGTCTCAATACCGAGCCCCGCTTCGTGGTGGAATAGAGCTTGCGGCACGGTTGTCTGAATGTTGCCCTGCGATGGTGTCCCCCGACCTGTCTTTCAGAAGGCACACTTGTTCTATCGTGTTGTCCTGCCCGTGCGTCTTCTCATCCATGGCCGTTTTGCGCTCAAGGCTGTACGTACGTGCAGGCAGAGGGCGAGCTCTTCTTTTCAAGCTTGCACCCTCCGGTCCCCTGCGGCAGGGAGGCCAACTCGGGATTCGTCAGCATGGCGGCCGATCCCATCGGCCCCAGCCCGCAAGAACTGGCGCAGCTCACCCACCACGCTCGAGCCCATCCACGACGGGGCGGGCGTGGACCCAGCACACCAGGCGACCTTCTTGGCGCAGCTCAGCGCCCAGTCGGACGCACGCCCGGTTGTGTTGGGCGGCCTGCCCGCGGAGGCCTTCAATTCCCTCGTCTAAGCATGGAAGCCCGACGGCACGAACCTGCCGAGGCCTGCTACAAAGTGCTCGCGCGCCTGGCGTGGCACGCAGCGCGGGTCACAGTCGGTGCGGGGCTTGCGGTTGCCGCCCAGGGGGCCGAAGCTGCGGCGCAACTCCAGGAGTCGCAGGAGCGCCTCGCGACGGCCCAGGCGGTGGTTGAGACAGCAGCACGGTTCGCCGCAGGCGCCGTGATTTCGCCACAGCGGCCCGCCGCAGAGGCCGCTGCGCAGCTGGGGCAGACACCAGGTGAATTGGTCTCTGGTAGAGACGTCGAGATCAAGGAGTGCGCGAATGCTCTCTCCACAGACGTGGCCGCATTTATTTCACAAGAGGAAGTCGACCAACACTCGCGGAATGTCAGGGCTCAGCTTGGCACTCGCCTCGAGCTGGAGCACTCATGCACGATCGAGCAGCCCAAAGCGCTGAAGCACGTGCTGAGGGGCACCGCATTCGACGTGGACCTCGCGCTCTTCGGGCCTAGCCGCAACCGCGTGGAGAAGCAATTCAAAGCGCGGGGCCACGCCATGCAGGCAGAGGGCCGCGCCCGGTTGTCTGAAGTGCGCGGTCCGCCTTCGTT